CGATGCACCACAGGAAGCTGACCAAAAAGGCTGTGCAAGCACTAAAACACTTTCACACCCAAAAATTGTCATGAAATCTCAGGTTCGAATCAGGTTGGTCAGAGTTTGAAACTTCCTACCCCAAGAAGCACTCACAACATCTCACAACTGTCCAAAGCGAGATCGAACTCGACCTGTGATCACCCGCGGCCACCTGTACCCCCAACACCCGAGCACGGATGGGCCGAGTAGGGAAATTCCTGGAGTTGGCAACTTTTGCTGTTGAACGCACCGATGCTGAAAAAGGATTCGCAGTGCTTGCCCGAAAAACTGGGAATTGCATTCGGAATCTCATCAATCTCATCTCTGGAAGACAGACCTGTGCCTACCACCTGTCTCAATACTCACCAACTCGAGGACCTTGTGTCAACACCCCTCTCCTGAATGAGAACCTCTGGCGTTGCGGGCGATGAACCGCACGTGTACCTCACAAAACAGCTTGCAAGTGCCAAGGCATGTGACACCAAGTGCTAAAGCGGGGTGTTCTTACTGAACATGACTGCAATCTAGTGCTGATTGAGAGCCATGAAGTTGGATTGCAGGGACCTTTTTCCGCCTTCGGCACGGCTTCGAACAACGGTTGTACCGGGTCGCTCCACCTGCCACCGTCGTCCTGTCCGCGCACGAGCGGGTGACTCGTAGAACACCGTCCTGCCACGACCTGAGGCAAACCGGCAGCCAACCGCTCCATTTAGAAGCTGTGATTTAATAGCTTCTCGTTACTACTAGTAAGGCACTTGTTACTAGTAGCGATGCACTTGCTCCTAGTAGCTTCTTGTTACTACTTGCTAAAAAGATGGTGCATCAAAGTGTCAAGGCTTCAAATGTCAAATGTAAAGAGAAATTCGCTCCCAGCCATGTCTTCGTCCCAGGCACCGCTCCAGGCAGTCTCCCCATGGCAAGTCACTGTCTCCTCCGGCTCGGCTGCCGGTCTTCCGGTCACGGCCCAGTTTGGAGAGTTTCTTCTGTTGGGTCGATGGCTGGTGAAAGCAGAAAGAAATACACAAAGACATTGACATCAAAAAGGATAAACAGAAAGAGGATCTCTCATGTCTGCCCAACAAAAATCACTTTGCCCTTGATGGCCCTGTTGAACACGCACCACATGGACCATAAGCAAATGAGCAAATCCCACCTGTTTCGGCCTTTCTTCGAAGCTCTGAAAGGATTTCATCTGCTTCCTGGAATTCTGCCTCCTGGTGCAGGCCCCGAAGGGACGACGTGGCTTTCAGGAGCTCAGCAGCGAGCTTTTCCAGAAGAAAAGTACACTGTGCTTTGGTGTCCGGAGTGTCCTTCCTTTTTACTCCAAACAGGATCGTTGCAAAGGTTCGGAACATCTTCCAAAAGGTCGTATTGACAAAGGATCCCAAGCTAATGACTTCCAAGTCACGATGACTTCCAAGTCACTGGGAGATGTTCGCAAGTCACGGTGAGAAGTCCCGGTTTTGGCGATCCTCCGGCGTCCAAGCCATAGAACTTTCACGTCAGATCATTACAGCAAATTGATGGATCCCTCTCATGTGTTCTTGATATATAGAAGCTTATGAAACTGAATGAGCCAGATATTCTATGATGGCTCTTCGGATGCCTTGGAGGGCTCAACTACAAGTTGGCCATTGGTGGATGATCAGAAAAGGAGCTGACCAGTAGAGCTGACTACAAGCTGACCTTGGTGGCTGCCTTGGTTGACAGAAAACTGCTGCAGCGCCTTTGCGACTCCATGACCACGTGACGATGTGAGAACCTCCGACCTCGATCTCGGAACGATCGACCTGTTCGCTTCAGGTCAACGACAAAGGATTTTGTGTCGGCCACATGTGCCCCACCCAAGCACACAAGTCATCAACCACTCGATCACCATCTGACCATTCAACTGACTTTTACACAACCGATGCTCAGATCCTTAAACCTTTGGAAGCGCTTCCTTTTCACCGAGTGGCCACGGCTGCGCTCTATGGGATTGTCTTTGATCGCTGGAGCTCTTCGTGAGGTCAAAAGATCTCTGATGTCTCGGATCCCATAGAGCCGTCGTCTCGGATCCCACCGTTGTCTCTTTGCTCTTTTGGCAAAGGAAGTCGGCGGGATTGGATCTTTGTACATCAAGCATTCGGATAGCCACCGAAGACCTGCACAGAGGTGCAACACATGTTTGCCAAGCTGCATAGAGTTCCGCAACTGAACCTCAAGGAAAAATGCTGGATCAGGCCTGAGAAACCAAATGTGGCTGCGCTGGCTTTGGTGCTGCCACCCGTGCCAAGGCCTTTCAAGGCCATGTGAAGAATGAGACCTCTCTTGACGTCAAACAGCTCAAAATGTCACAAAATTCGCTGCAAATTCATGTCCAATCCCATGTTACACAGAGACTTCTGTCCCTCCAACCGCTTTGCTCCAATCCCAACAAAAATCCGGTCTCAACCTTGCGGGCCCAACATGCGCCTCTTGGCCCGCTTTTGTGGAGTAGAGGCCAGCGGCCTGCAGGGCAGCCGAGAGCTTGTACCGGGCATCCGCCATCAAGCGCTGTTCATCGAAGCCAGCCGCCGGCCTCAAAGGCTGCAGGATGAAAACAGCTTATTTAAGGTCAGGGAACTGATCTATGTTTTCTAGGCTATGATTTGATGGACTTGTTACTTACTACTAGTAAGTAGCAACTCCATCATAGCCTTAGTTACAGATTCCAGAGAGCCTTTATGATCCGAGAGTTGTGGCTGAATCTGGTTGCCACTCTTTGCGGGGCAACCATTCCGAACTAGACTTAGAGACTTAGAGTCTAAGAGCAAGACCCCCGGGTGACGCAAACCAGCGGATCGCTGTAGGCTTCCGCAGTGTGTCTCTCCGGCACCTGGCCAAGACCGCTCCACGGTGCTCGTCCACGGCGGTCCGCCGCCGCGACAGACGCGCAGCCACGCACCTTGTGGAGGCGCTGCAGGTCTCTGGGCGCCTCGACTTTGAGGTGATCCTGGCCGACAGAGTGACGCCCGGCCAGAGCCGTCGGTCCAAAAGGCAAGATTGATTGAAGATGAATGAATGCGAACCGTCCACAGGTTTGGGGTTCCGTCTTGACACGTGTCAAGCTCCAATTTTCTGACTCATCAAGGAAGGAAAGAGTCAATTAACATGCAAGGGTCACTAAGGCTCTTTGCAATGCCATCTGTCGCTCCAGCTGCTCTTGCTCCAAAGCCGCACGTTTCTGTGCGACCTGAGCCACAACAAAATGTCCTCTTTCTCTGTGTTTCAAAGCAGAAGATCCCACCTCTTTCCGCTTCAGCTCGTCCAACTGCCTCAAAGCAGATAAGAACGAGAAAGTGTGCAACCTTTTTGCAAAAGCATGAGGTGTTCAAGACACTTCAACAACTCGAAAATGAAAACAAAATAGACACTTCACACATTGCAGGGCATTCAGCAGATGTTGTAGACCCATGTCAGCCCATGCCTCCTCATTTCGACCATGCGGGCATTTCGCGCCATGCGGGCAATGCGTTCCTGGCACAATCTGGCATACATCGGTCGTTCCCTTGCCAGTCGTGCATCTCTCAGGCGAAGTAAGTGCACCTGTTGGCTCAATTACATCGCCCAAAGCCATGATATTAGATCACAAGTCATATTGATCCAAGAATTGGCCACAGTTGGTTCCGGTCTGATAGACGAAAAGGCTGATCAAGTTTGGGAATTCAATTCGTAGCAAAGACATGAGCGACGCGAGGGCCGAACAACGGATCTGTATGACACTTACGAAACCTTCATGCTTGGCGCCTCAGCCTCTTTCTGCTCGCGGAGAGCAGCATCCTCCTGCAAGTCTTATTCTGTTTGTCTGCAAAAAGTGGGAAGCCTTGAAGCTTGCTAAAGACTAGTTAAAGACACGTGTCAAATTCTCTCATTCGACTGGTTTTTGCGCTCAAAAGTTCCTTGTCCCGCTGCTGCTGCTCCCGTCGCCTCAGGTCCCACTCGGCCCGTCGACGCCCGTCCCCAAACGAAAGCTTCCAACTCGTAGAGGGGCACATCCGAATCCAACTAGTAACAAGTGCCTTACTAGTAGTAACAAAAAGCTATTAGAAACAAGTGCCACGCTAGTAGTAACAAGTGCCACGCTACTAGTAACAAGTGCCTTACTAGTATATACGCTCCTAATAGCGATGCCCTTTGTTCCTAGTGGCGTCCTTGCAGTATTGAGGCCATGAGCCCCTAGTAGCTTCTTGCTCCTAATTAGAGCCGGGATGGACGCCTCCTGGGCCGATCCTTTCCTTTTTTTCACTTGACGGCCCCGGCTGCTCGTTGAAGTTGCGGCTGAGTTGACGAACCTCGCCATGCCAGGCAATCTGAAACAAGTGGCGTGTGTCGCGGCCATCTCTTGCAAAGCAGAATCAAATCATCGAGACAGAGGGCAGTGACGGTATGCATGGCTTGATGATGCCTGATGTGTGCTTCATCGTGTCGGCAAACTGCACACACGTGTGTGCTTCTTTGTTGTGTCGTTCTTGAAGAAAACGAGTTCAAGAATTACTCGGATCTGATATTTGGATGGTTGTCCGCGCCCCAAAGGAGGAAGCGCCTCTGAGGTACAGCCCCAATCCACTGTGCGCTGCGGCTGTGCCCCCGTTTGTCCTGGGGAGCCGAACCACTTCCGCGCGCTTCTGTAGCTTCTGCTCCTTCTCGGCCTGATCAAAAAAGAACCAAAACCATGAAGCAGATGGCCGTAGGGGTTCCGTTCCCCTCCACCTGGAGAGCTTGCTGCCGCTGTTGTTCCTCGCTCTGCTCCAATTCACGCTCCTTTCAACGGGCAGATTGGGCAGGGCAGCTGGCGTGTGTGTTCACGACCCGACGCTTCAACCCGCATCTACCACAATAGCAACAGAAAAGAAACAAAAGTTGACTGCCTGATCGGCTTGGATGACCGTCCTGGTATTATGTATCTTGTAGATCTCTTCATGTAAAGAAACGACACCAGGTCAATCGGCAGCCTTTTTCGAGAACGAGCTACCTTTGAGCTCATCCACGACCTCCAGAGCCCAAGCTTTTGGGGCTCGCGTCAACGGTTTCTCCCTCAACGGAAGTTCTGCCTTCCTCACTTACCATCCATATGCGGAAGCATCGGCAAAGGAAAAGAGTCTGCGACCTCAGCGACGTGTGTGTGTGTGTGTACCCCTTGGAATCAAAGGGATCCTGTAGGATTGCTTTTGACTTTTTAATTGCAGGGGGCACGCGGCCATCACGCAAACGCATGCCAACGAAGCTATGCGTGATGGTGGAAGCCAGGTCTGATCAACCTGGTGTACCTGCTTGTTCGAACTGTTGTCCAAGTTACTCCACTTCTTCCTGTAAAGTGCTAGTGAGTTCTGCAGAGGTGCACGGACCGTCGTCCTTGTCGATCGATCGTTTCGCGGCTTTGCAATTTGTAATCTTCACCTTTGGAGGTTTGAGCATTGGGAGTTGGGGAGATCTGAACCCTGTTTCCTTAGGCTTTTCACTTAGGCTGGCGTGTGTCACCGCATTCACATCAGTACGCATTTCTATAAGTGTGTGGCGGATGGTGATTCTTTCCCCATATAGAGACAGCTTTTCAGCTTTTCCTTCCAAATGACATGGGAATGTTGCACGAGTATTCCTGCAAAATAGGCTTAGGTGAGCATTTGTTATCAGCATTTGTTATTACTCACATTCTAGTTAGTGAGTTCCCTCTTCCTCGTCTTCCTTTTCCTCGTCTTCCCAAAAACGGCCATCAGCCAGGTTACGCTCCCAGTTTCCGGGAGCCCATAGATGATCTTCGCCTCGTTTGGGCGACAAAACGACACTCTAACGCACTGACGAGTGACTCACTGAGTCATTCACCTAGTCTATGAGAACAGTTACAACTGTCTGATGTGATAAAAAGATGGTGCAACGGATGCCACAAGGCAAACTTCGCCATCCGTGCATCAGCTCTTCCAGCCTTGCTCCCACGCATATGACTAGCCTGCCATGCCATGTCTCAAAAGCAGAATAGTTTCACATCTCTATTCAGGAACACAAGTCAAATGCTAATCCCTGATTGCATAGGCAAGTTGTGCTTTAGTCAAAGCTTGTCTCAGAAGAGCACTTGTCTTTGATTCCATCTTATGATTTGACTCTTGGCTTGTCAAGAACGTCTTCCGGCCTTTTTGATCTGTTGACGGATGAAGAGAGCCTCCACTGCCGGAGGTGTGTACAAGGAGACAAACGGTGAACAAAAGCATGACAAGCGGTGAGATGAATAGTAGCTAGGACGCTATTAGGTGGAGGCCATCCCCAGTAGGTTGGAGGCCATCCCTAGCAGGTTGGAGGCCATCGCTAGTAGGTTGGAGGCCATCGTTACTAGTAACAAGAAGCTACTGCCGCATCAGAATCAATTCTGGGATGTCACCATCACCAGGCTATCCAGTCAAGCATGGAACAGGTGAACCTTGAAAGCTGGCATCTTGGAGATTCACCAACAGTTCACTTCAAGACCATAGCTTGGGGGATTTTAGGGCCATCACGAAGACTGATCCTCCTCAAAAAACCTTTCCTTATCCCTTGCCTGCGCCCCAAGCGCCCCAAGCACGATGGTACATAGAAGAAAGATACCAGTACCCAAGACTGCAATCAAATGGTGTACAGGCAGTAACATTGTAGAGATGCAATTTGCCTCTTTAAAGAAGTCACCGAGGCAACATCATATGAAGTCTTCCGAATCCGCCAGTTGATCAACACTTCACGCCACCTTCTCAAGACGTCGCGCAACGGTCTTGGCATCACCCTGCAGCTGCAGCAAGCGCCTTAAGTATTGCCCATTGCCTTTTGGGAGACCCTCTGGAACCCTGTGTGTTTCGAAGTGCCCAAGGGCCCAAGGATCAAAAGGATTCCCAGCTCCCCCCTCCCCGCACCCCTAAGCCACATCTTGCCCTTCGGTTCAAGGAAAGTTTGCTCAACCCAAAGACCGTGACACAGGTCGTTAGTGCTCAGGAACCCTCTTTACTACAGTAAGCCTCTAGGACTCTAGGAGTTTGGGAGTTTTCGTGATAGTACAATGTTTCAGTGGACATGTACCAAATGGCTAGAGAATTGACATGATCTTGTGATTCCAAAACCATGGAAGCTCTTCTCTATTCATTCCGGTCACGGCCAAGACACCCATGCATGTGCCGCACGGCCACCGACATGGATTCTTCTCGCTCCTCGATGCGAGCCTCAAGACAGGTGGTCGATGATCCAACTTCGCTTCCTCCGCTGCCATCATGTTCAACGTCAGCGTAGCAAACCGCAGAAGAAACTAACCACTGGCATAAGAAAACCGCTGGGTTAAGATCGAGTAGCACGCGACGCAATGTAGACTCTTTTAGGGGGTAGTCTACACGCATGAGAAGATTTATGCTCGTTGCCATTCTCCCTTGAAAGCGACGATCGAAAACGACCGTGACAGGAGGATGCTCTCGGCCCGGGCGCCAAAACGAACCGGCCGAGCCTGGCGCTTTTCCTGAGCCAAAACGGACCGCTGGGAGCGAGTGAGTGGATTCCACCGATGTGGGACGTGACTCGGACTAGGAAGTTGAGACATGTTGAGACTACTAGTAACAAGAAGCTACTAGGAGCAAAGGGCATCGCTACTAGGAGCAAGGGCGCTACTAGGGGCTCCTGGCCTTACCACTAGGAGCAAGG